GGTTAGTTATATTATGTATATGTTACAGCTAATATGCAAACTTGGTTAGTTTGCAAACTAGCTGGATAGTTTACAAACTAACTAACCCCTTGGCTATTTAGATAGAAAAACGCAATTTCCACTAACATAGCAGCTAGTTTGCAAACTAACCTTGGCTAATTTACTTGAAATTATTGAGAAAACTAAAATAGCTGCTTAGTTTATAAACTATCCAAGACAACCTAGCTAATATAAAATCCATAATATCTAGTAACACAAAAAAGCCAAAATCTTGGCTAGTTTATAAACTAACTAGGCCTTATTCACTAGATTAGAAAATAAAATGCAAAATTCTGTTTTTATTATTAGAAAAATAAAATATTTTCAAATAAGTACAACTTAAGAACTTAGATATTTTCATAGTAAAGTAAATGTCCATGTAAGATGTTTCACTTAGGGCCGGTTTATTCACCTTCTGATAAACTGTCACGTATGCAATCTGACGGATAAAAACGCAATTTGTAATCCCATTGGTCAAGCAGTTATTCACCGACCTGCAATAGAATTATAGAACTGTAAATTTATCTTTCAGATAGTTACCAACAAGTTTATCTGATGATGAATAAACCGGACCTTAGAAGAATATATTGTGCATCAGCTCGTTGTAAATCGTGATACTTAATAAAATAATAATCAGATTTTTGTGCACTTTAGCTATGTTCATTGTAAAGTTGGGAATTATTTGCTTTCTTATTATGAAGATCTACACTCAAAAAAGTGCTAGTCTTGAATCAAAGTAGTAAACAGGAATTATTAGCGACAATAGAGAAAATATTTTCTTATCTATTGCTTGCAGAAAAATGTTCTTAGTTCAAGTGAAATAGTTCTCTTGAAAAAATCTAAAAATTCTCTGTTCTTTTTTTCAACCAAGTGCAATTTATGTTATCTCAAGAGCTATGGAAATTATAGATATGGTCGATATTAAAATTATTGACTTCCTACACTTTGCTATTTAGGTACAGAATTGTCAATGGCACCAAGTGTCCTCAAAACGATTGACAGATTTTATTAATTTTCACTGCTATGAAAACATTGATGAAAACAGATAACATGTAACTTCTGTGAAAATCGGAATCCATTCAGAACAAGTAATCTTTCAACTGAGCAACATGAAGTTTAACTCAAAAGACAATCATCTTCCGAAGAGATATTTTGGCTCTTCCCTCAAAATCTCTCTTACATGTTGGGTTTTGAACTATAAGACAGTAACAGCTTCGAACAAGAAGAATAAAATCTTGCCTGAAGTAAATTTAGACAATCTAGGAGGAGAGTTAATGCTTTGGATCAAGAAACATCGCTCTTGGACCTATTCAAAAGCGCGAATCTTTTGAGTAAAAGTCATATTCTTTCCGTTAAAGAGGTCCTTTTTTTCAGTGTAATAAAGAGGCGTAAAATTTTTCTTTGTGATTCATTTTATTAACAATAACTGATGCTGTTCTGTTCCTTTGAAATATAAAAACAAACCTGGCCAGGACAGCAAACAAAAAACATTAACATTCCATCTTCAAAACGTAACCTAGCTTTATTTGCAAAATTACCAGAAAATTGGTTGGTTAGTTTATAAACTTGCCAAAGGTTTGGCTATTTTGTGTTACTAGAAATCATGGTTTTCAAATTAGCCAGGCTGCATTGGATAGTTTATGAACTAACCAGCTCATTTAGTTTTCTCAATAAGGAGCACTGCAACTTAACTATCTCAAAAATAAGCTATGGAATTAGTCACCTTAGCAGATGTTCGCATAGTTTATCAAGATGGTCAAGATTAGTAGTTTTTAATGCATTGGTGTTACCACACTTTACATACTGTGCAACAATTTTGTATTTGTTGCAGCAAAATGAAATAAACCGCTTACAGAAAATGCAAAACCGCGCTATGAGAATAATACTATCATGTGATAAGTACACCTCCATTAAAACCATGCTTAGACAACTGCAATGGCTCCCTGTGCAGGAATTTTTTCGGTACAACGTCTTACTTTTCATTTTCAAAATAAAAGTAGGTAATGCACCCTCCTATTTGAAAAACAAATTAACAGTTAACAACCAAGTCCACGGTCATAATACAAGGCAGCAGCAGAACTTCTATATACAACGTAGAAATAAAAAGCTTGCTGGAAATTCTGTTTTTTTTTAAAGGTCTGGATGATTTTAATAAGTTACCTAATAATATTAAAAATAGTTTATCTCTGAATGGTTTCAAGAAAAATTTAAAATTGTTTTTTCTTAGGGAAAATGATCTTGTTTCCTAAGTCAACATAGTCTTTGTGTATTTAACGAGACATCTTGATCGGGTTTTTGTCCATTTTGTCCATTCTGACTCTTGTCTTTATCCATTTTAATAATTGTACAATTGTATTTTGCAAGGATGTTTTTAATTGTTTTGTTATGATTTCCGTTTATATTGATTGATTGATTGTTTCTGAGTCATGTGATTTGCTTTGTAAAATGCAACAACTGTGAAATTTGATTCAAAATTTATATGCTAAGTAATTGTGACATACTGGATGGTTGATCCTGTGATAACTTTTAAATTACTGTATTGTTTGTGATAAGTTTTGCTCTGTTGGTTTATTTATTTTATGAATTATTGTACATTTTATTTCTTAGTTACTTTTCAAGTTATATATTTATATTCTGTACTATTGTAAACTAGCAATTTTTATGCTAAATAAAGGATTTAATAATAATAATAATTTCAAGTAAATTAGCCAAGACTTGATTAGTTTGAAAACTAGCTGCTATTTTAGTATAAATTGCGTTTTCTATCAAAATAGCCAATGGGTTGGTTAGTTTGAAAACTATCCAGCTAGTTTACAAACTAGCCAAGTTTGCATATTAACCGTAACATATATAATTATGTTAACTATTAAGGAGTCGTTATTTCACAGTTTGATTAAGGTTCGGAGTTTGAAATTAAGAAGAATAATTATTGCTAGAGATGATGGGGATGAGAACACCATGAAATATTTACGTTGCATTACAGTTTCCCATTGAGTACAAATTTTGAGAAGTTAGAGAAATTTATTCATTTTTCGTAGGGATAATTTTACTGAGAATTAATTGATTGCAACTTTGAATAGAATACTAAGGTTACTTTAAAGTAGAGCCTGCTTCAGCAGAATTAAAACCTTTTTTCGAAATATGATTTAGCATAATATGTCCAGATGGGGACCAACTACCTGCTACTTTACGACTAAAACAGATGTGTGGACCCCACACAGCTTGGCCAGTTCTCAAAACCGCTAAAAATTAAAGTGTCGAGTTATCTGCATGTGTTTCAAAGTCAAAGTCAATGTCAAACTACAAGTACGAATTATGTTTTTGTGAAATATTTTAATAATTTATGAGGAGAATGAAGCCGCTAAAACTTAGCGGAACCATTTTTCAGTGTGGTTTGAAATAAAAAACAATTTCGTCAAGAGAATTTATTTGAATAGATAGAAGCTTAATAACATAGGGTAGATTTCTGTGTTAGTTCACAAACAACCACAGATTTTCGGAAAAACTGCAGTTTGTAATGTTTTCAGTACCTACACTCTTTTGATACCAAATCAAAGTTGCAGCATGACCAGCCATGAAGCAAATGTGTTTTCGGAATTGCCAATGAATTTTCAATGACAAAATAGAAACATGGGAACTTATACTTCCAAGGCATTTACAAATTAAAGGGAAGATTTTTCTTCAACAGCAGGATCCAACTCCCTTGTCAGAAAGTACATAGGCATCCTGAATGACATAAACTCTTCCTTTTGATCAAACTTTATCAGCTCTAGAAATTTCTTTGATTTGAGTAGGTCTTTGTGAGAGTATTTTTTTTCACCAAAAAATTAAAATAACCTTTATCTATCCACTCCTGGATGTAGATCTCTCCTGAGTGTTTCCATCTTTCTCTATTTTTTGCCAATCTCATCCAGGATTCTTCATGTCCATCTGTTGTCATTGTATCTGGCTAGCCCCACAATGCATCTGACTTTCGTTTCGCATCTTATAATCGCTATTTCTAATTTTGTCTCTTAGTGATATTCGGAGCATGTTTTTTTCCATCGCTCTTTAGGTTATTTCCAATTTTTTGTGAGGGACACGGTCTCTAATCCGTAGAAGAGTAGAAATCGAGCTTGTTTGTCTCCCTTCTTGAATATTAGGATAACTTCGGAGTCATATATGTACTTACCATTCTCGTGGAATCTTTCCTTAGTCAATTATTTTATTTAATGTGAAGATCGATCTAGTAATGATGATCAGAGTAATGCTTCATTGTTTTCACAATATTTTTCATCTGTGTACACAGAGCCCAACCAACTTTAACTCGGCCAGTTATCCCCCGACCAATAGAATTATAGAACGGTAAATTTATCTTGCAGATAGTTACCAGCAAGTTTATATGAATTTGAATAAACCGGTCCTTTGTCTTATTAATTTTTTAAATTTTATATGATTTACCGTTCTATTTTTCTGCCTCCAATTTTCAGCATCTTCACTGTAATTCTGAAATCTCCTGCACATTTATTGTTTTTTAATTGGCTTAAAACTGCCTTTTCAAAATTCAATAACCGACCCATTTGGGTTTAGTGGAATCAGCAAAAAATCAATATTTTATATTTTGGGTTTGTAAACTTAATTTGGTTGCTGACTCCAATTTTCGGATTTCGTTCAATGCACTATCGATGTTGCCTAATACTGATGACCGGTTAAATGCTACTGAAAATTTTACGTACCTCTTCATGTTTTTCATTTGACATTTTTTGTCAAATAATTATCAAAATGAATCATCCGGAAAGCACTACACAGCAAATTTGGTTAGAAATCCTCTGGCAACATTGAAGAGGAAAACCTCCTGCTGTGTGAAGGCTTTTTGGTGAATTGTTTTGTACCCAGTATATTTTTTACAAAGAAAAAAATCAATGAATACAGCTACCTACTACCCTTGATTCACACATTGAATAACAGTCATTATTTTCCAGGAAAAGGGAAAGAGAATTGCACCTTTCAAAAGCAACACACAAAAAAATAAAATGGAGGAAGCATCATTTACTATGACCTGGGCAGACGCCAATACGGTGGTCCAAACCGAAGAGGTAGAGGTATCTTCAGTGGAAAATGAAGCAATTCCTCCACAATCGGAAGAATATATTAATGCAGATGATTACACAGAGGGAGTGGAACTGACAGAGGAAGAGGTATTGGTAATATATATTAATGAATGAATGAAAAATGTAATATAATTTTTTTTTAAATCTTAGCTAATACAAGGTGATTCCCATGTTATACAAGAGGTAATCCTGGACGAACCACAATCAGAAGCTGGAATTATGTATTTTACTGGTATGAAAATTTACTGTTATTCCTAAACTATTTTATTTATTATTATTATAATTCATACAATGCTAGTACCTACATAGAATTACAATGTATTGCATATTGTTACTTCAACAAAATGTTTTAGTGACTCCGCACATTTAAATAATAAGCTTACAATTTCACAAAAACCGTAGCATTCTTGATCACATCACCAAAAACTTCCAAAAATTCAGGCTAACGCCATGTTCATGTTCAAACGTAATGAGACCAGCATACTCTTGGAATTTTCCAAAGAAAACTGTTTATTTTAGGTTAGTTATCACTTTTTATTTGTTTTTTTTTACTTTTCATTTTTATTGCTAGTGAATTTTCTGTAAGGGGGTTTTTGCCTGTTGGTAATACAAGCTTTATGTATATTTATTTATTTATTAACAATCAATTTATATCTGTGGTTACTCAATACTAACCATTTTATAGATATTTTATTCATATCATAGTTTCACTTTATTTGACTAAACTTTTCTGTGATTTTATAGAAGATAATGTCCTAGTAATGCAAGAAGACAATACAGCTTACTCTCAAGAGGAATTATTGGAGGTGGCAGGAGAAGTAATAACAGACCCATGGGATCAAACCTGTGCTACAGAAGTTATAGTCGGGACTGAAGAAAGTGTTGTAGGTGGCCAACCTTCAGGTGAAGATGAAATACCTCTACCGACAGACCAAGACGAATATACGGCAGCCAGGCCATATCCTTGTGATTTCTGTAGCAGAAGGTAAATAAAACCGTTTAACAATAATTTTGAATTGGCAATTTGTTTCTTTCCAGGTTTCGAAAAAAAGCCAACTTAATGAATCATATGGTGGCACATCAATCTGACAGACCTCATTTTTGCAACCTTTGTGGTGCAAAATACATGAAAAAAACCGATTTATTGAATCATCTTAAAGGCCATGCCTATGTCCCGGAAGAAATAATCAAGCATGGTAACGCGCAAGGTGAGCATTTTGTCTTTTTTTTTTCAAATTATTCATCTGGAGTTTTCCATACCTGTTGATGAAGCTAAATTTCTGAAGCCACTTAATTATTTTTCCTGTGACTTTAAAAATGCCAATTATTAATATGTTTGCTCCACAAAGAGTCATTGTTACAGCGATAAATTTCTTATCTGGTTTTCTTACGAACTTAAAAACCTGATTTTTCAAAAGAAAATTGCTCACTCTATAACCCCCAGAGAAATTCCGACGCCAGAACTTTTGCTGATCGACTTCAGAATGTTTCAAGCATTGTCATAGACCCAACCAATATTCAGAGGCTTTAAAGCTAGTGGACATCAAAAAGTCTGCAGGACCTGATGGTTTTCCTAACAAAGTACTAAAATCTTGTTCTAACACTTTGTATCTCCCTCTTTTTATTATTTTTAACAAATCCCTTAACTCTGGAATTTTTCCTAAAATGTGGAAGCTCTCTTACGTTTGTCCTATTCACAAGTCAGGCAGCAAGAATTATGTAACAAACTACAGACCTCTCAGCATCCTGTCTGCAATTCCTAAATTATTTGAGCAGTGCTTTGAAAAGATTATTTCAAAAATATTTCATCATATTGTGATCAGTCAACAGCATGGGTTTACAGCTGGTAGATCTGTTGATACGAACCCGTTTCTCTTCAAATTTTTTATAAATTCATCATTTGTTTACAATGCAGAAACTCATGCAATATATAATGACTTCAGTAAAGCCTTTGATAAGGTAAACCATAACATCCTTCTTTCAAAGCTCTCAAGTTATGGCGTTTCTGTACCCTTAGTTTCATGGATGAAATCTTACCTTACTAACAGAATGCAACAAGTCAAGATCGATGGCTATCTTCCTTCTCTTTTCCATGCATCCTCTGGGGTACCCCAAGGCTCTCACTGGAGCCTCCTTCTATTCACCATATTTATCAATGGATTTGGTATCGTTGCTCTCCTCGAATTTTTTACTCTTCGCTGATGACTAGAAGTTGTATCATCAGGTGACATCAGTTCAAGACATACTTATTTTGCAAAACGATCTTAACATTGTTTATGATTGGTGTCAGCTTAATGACGTGTTCCTAAACATTGATAAGTGTTGTATAAGATTCAGTAGCCTCACCTGTAAGGTTCCCTTTCAGTATTGCTTAGGTGATGTTCGCTTGTCTGAAGTTTCTGTCATCAAAGATCTTGGTGTCTATCAAGATACTAGGTTAATGTTCACCAAGCATTTTGAAGTGGTAATTGGCAGGGCTGATAGAATGTTGGGTTTTATTAAGAGAGCTACTAGGGACTTTACAAGTATACGCCCCATCAAAATTCTTTACACATCACTGGTCAGATCCGTTCTTGAATTTTTTTGCATAGTTTGGTCACTTTACTATTGGATCCACATCAATAGGCTTGAGAGTGTTCAATACAAATTTACCAAGATTGCTAGGTCAGACTGTCTCTGAGTGGTGTGATTCTCAGTGTTGACCAGACTATGACTTATTACTTAGACTTAACTACTCTTGTTCACAGAAGGGAATACTTTGATGTCTGTTTTGCTGTTATTATCCTTAACTACTACATAAAAAGCCATGAATGTCTTAGGTGCTTTTATCTACACACTCAAAGTTATCGGACACAAAGTACATTTTTACTGCACATTCCTTACTGTTGTACTTGGTACTTACTATTCAGTCTTGTTAATAGAATATCTGCCAATGTAAATAGGTTCTATGAGGGTCTTGACTTTTTTAGTTTATCTCAGGTTAAATTCAAGACGCGGGCCAAGAGAATTGCTTTAGGTTAGATTTTTAGATGATTTTAGATTTACACTTTGTACCACTTCAAATGTAGGTATGTATTTTTTTATACGTTGCTAAATAAATAAATAAATAAATTTATCAACAGGTACATTTAACATTTTTATATTATTTTCAAATTGAGCTAGAAAACCATGAATTTAAAGATCCACTTTGTCAAAGTCATGCTGCTTTCTTATAACTTAATTCTGGTCAATCTATATTAAAAAAAATAAGATTGCCGGCCATTTTATTCACCCTATGAATAACTGTCAGGTATGCAATCTGATGGATAAAAACACAAGTCCCATTGGTCGGCCAGTTATTCACCGACTTATAGAATATATGAAAAAATTAATATTTTCAGATGATCAAAGTAGGTTGGTTGAAGATGATGTATCCAGAAAAGGCAAAAGTCCTGTCAAAAAGAAAAAAAAGAAACAGATTGTTATAAAAGAGGAAATTGATAATATGTTCACTGCGACAGATTCAGGAATAGAATACGGTAAAGTCGAATGTAAGTTAATATCATTATTGAAAAAAAACTATAGTATCTATTTTTATAATCCTTCACAGCTTCTTCTGCTGACCAATACAATTACCACGATGATGCAGGTGTTATAAGATACATCCAAGAAGATAACGAAAATAATACTGAATACCTACAACAAGAAGAAACCAGATATATAGTCACTGATGCTAAGAAACCTTTTGTTTGCCAGCACTGCGGAGTTTGCTTTGCCAGAGAAAAAGCATTGGCGTCGCACGAAAGGATTCATGGAGGTGATAGCCCGTTTGAGTGTCTGAAATGTGGCGAAATGTTTTGGGATATTGAACTTTTGGAGGTATGAAATGAACTCTTATGAATGTTTTTTTAGTGGAATTATTGTATGTATGAATGGTGCAATTAATGGGCATAATGAGAGAAATAATCACCCTGTACTATTTTTTTAAAAGGTCAGGGTTGTGTCAATTTTAGAATGGTAGAATTAGTTGTTTAGTGGGCAAGAGCTAGGAATTAATCTAAGCGAAATCACATCGGTACTGCGAATTTACAAGCCAAAGAGATAATAGCTCTTTTCTTTGAAGTGAAAAAGAATCGACACTTCCTGTTCACATAGCAGAAGTGAAATGGTAAATATACTGATTGTGGAAGAATTACAATTTTCCTAACTGTTGCTTTGATTGATTTGGAATGACTGAGAAAAAGTTGAAAAACTGTGTGGTAGAAGATTTTATACATTCTCTGTAAAATCAAATAATAAATTTCTGCTAAAATCGAGCTATTTTGCAAATTTTAATATGCTGTTTATTTCTAGACCCATGCTAAAACGAAACACGGCGAAATGGAAGAATTGGAAGAGGATGAAGACGAAAATTACTCAGAATCAGAAAATCCAACTTATGGCACCTTTTACTGTGCAACTTGCGGTCTATCATTTCACAGACAAGACAATTTGCGTCGGCATCAGAGAATACATGTGAGAGAAGAACACCTTAGGAAGCAGAATTATGGGCACATTTGCAACAGTTGTGGAGAATCGTTCAATGAGGCACTGGATCTCCTAGCTCATGCTGAAGTTCATGCTCGAGGCTCAGAATTTCGCTGCATGATATGCGGAGAGATGTGCCTCGATGAGAACGCATTGGCGGCCCACGTTCAAAGTGCACATAAAAATTTGCCAGATTTCACCTGCAATTTGTGTGGCCGCACATGCAGAGATTCCAGAACTTTATTGAAGCACTCATGGGAACATTCAAAAGAAAAATCGTTTGGTTGCACAAAATGCTCTAAAACTTTTCACAATAAGGCTCGGCTGAAAAGGCACATGATTTCACACAGAAATAAGGTTGTGTCATGTGACACTTGTGGAGAGGATTTCCCGGATGGTAGAAGTTTGAGTAACCATAGACATAGCCATAGCAGCGTGTCTGGTCGGCAATTTGTTTGTAAAGACTGTGGAAAAACTTTTGGATCGAGAAGCTCACAACAAATTCATATTCGGATTCATACAGGTGAGAGATCCAAATTTCAACTCCTAATTGAACTATTATAACAATAACAGCATGATGTGTGTGAATTTAATTTACAGGGCGTTCCACGAACATCAAAACAGAGGCGTTTGGAGTATTTTAGCGCTCGAACACATCAATTTTCTATTAAAGGCGGAAAGTTTTTGACCCCATCGGTATTTTGCTAGGGTGCACCCCTAGGGTGGAGCGACTTTCACCTTTCTTTTTTAGATAGGGGAGATGTGTGGTACCTTGTTTTAAAGGTACACAGGTCACAGCTTCCTTTTTTTTGAAAATCGAATAATTAGTTCTCGAGATATTCACTGTCAAAGTTGCCATGGGCTAAATGCGAAACAATTTTCTGGCCTGTTATTCTCAAACTAACACTTTCCTGACTTTTCTCTCGGACACGTCAATTTCAATGTTTTCAGAAGCACACGAAAAATGAAAATCGACGTGTTCAAGAGGAAAGTCGGGAAAGTGTTAATTTGAGAATAACAGGGCCAGAAGTTTGTTTCTGATTTAGCCCATGGCAACTTTGACAGTGAATATCTTGAGAACTAATCATTCGATTTAAAAAAATACGCAGTTGTGACGAGAATCTAAATACCTTTAAAACAAGATATCACTTGAACCATCTTCCCTATCTGAAAAATTGGTATCAAAAAGTTTTCTCCTTGAATACAAAAATGACGTGTCAGAGCGTTTTTTTTTTTAAATCGACCTTAAAATACTATAAAACGCCTCTGTTTCAATGTTCGTGAAACACCCTGTATAGGGGCCTTACAAATCAAATCTTTATTTATTTATTTATTTATTTCATTACTTTACAAACACCAAAAATAGTAATTACATGTAAAGTTAAAACAGCGAAGTGTAAAACACAAAAATAAAGACAGAGTACACAATATAATATATGACTAATTTAAAAGGGCCTTCAATTGATTTAAAGTTACATTAAAAAGATCTACCTGGACCTCATTAAGTGCTTGGTTCGCAACTGTCATCATGTGATTAAATGGTGACATATTATTACTAGGATCAGTACCAAAGTATTTCTTGTTTTTCATAATTCTTAAGTTAATCTTTGGTACAATTAAGGAGACATAGTTAATTAAATTACAATCCTTATACTTCAGGTTGTTTAGAATATAAAACAAAAATATCACAGCCTGATTATTCCTTCTTTCCACTAATGACTTTATCTTAAAACTAACAAGCATATCCCTGTAAGGAACCATATATGGGTAAATATTATTTTTAACCACATAGAGATACCGCAAAAATCTCATCTGCACTTTTTCAATTTCATCAATATGCGTGGCTTCCAACGGAATCCAAATTTGTGATGCATATTCAAGGGGCGGTCTCACCAGAGCATTATACAAGTTAATAATTGTACTTATTTTAAAGTTCTTACTATTCCTGATTACAAAGCCAAGTGACAACATGGTGAAAATGCTTATTGAACTTCATGTTGGCCTGGAAAAAGACACCCAAATCCTTCACCTCTGTTTGACGATCAAGCTCAGTATCACCAATCTTGTATGTTTCTTCTATTGGGTTTGTTCGTCTCGTAAAGCTGACAACAGAACACTTATTAACATTTAGGGACATTCTGTTGTTGTTGCACCAGTCCATCACCCTATCCATGTCTCCCTGAAGCCTTCTGCAGTCTTCTCGCCGCTCAACAATCCTACAGAGCTTGAAGTCATCAGCAAAAAGAAGTCCCATAGAGTCCCTCAGGCAGTCGGGCAATGAATTGATGAAACACAAAAAGAAAAGAGGGCCCAGTTTACTACCCTGCGGGACACCTGAGGTTGCAACAAACGCCTCAGAGTTGCAAGCGCCGTCCCTTACTGTCTTGACCCTGCCTATGAGGTATGACCTCACAAGATGGTAAGCATCCTCTGACACCCCAAACTCAGCAAGCTTGCAAAGCAGCAACTCATGGTTCACCCTGTCAAAAGCCTTCTCACAATCTGTGTAAATGACATCCAACTGGCTCTTATTCGCGATCGCCTCGGCCGCCATTTCCGAGAATATAGAGAGGTTTGTTATTGTTGACTTATCATTTAAGAATCCATGCTGGTATTTAGAAATTTTAGGTTTTAGAAAGTCTGAAAGATCATCATAAAGTATTGTTTCAAAAATTTTTGCTAAAATATTAATGAGGCAAATCGGTCTATAGTTCCTAATTTCGTCCTTTCTTGAAAATAGGCGTAATCTGAGCATTCTTCAAGGCATCAGGAAATTGTCCACTTCCAATAGGAAGATTGAAAATATGTTTGAGCGGTAGAGCTATGAACTCAGCCAATCCTTTATAAATATAGGTAGGGATCTGATCAGGCCCTGTCGATTTTTTAGGCTTCAACCTTTTAATACTATTTACAACTTTCAACTCTGACACATCTGAAAATTTAAAATCACATCCGTTAACATTCCCCATGTATTTACTTACATCATTGGGTCTTTCATATACCGACTCAAAATGCTGAGCAAGAGCCATCGCTATATCCTCGGAACCCAAGTACAATTTCTCATTAAGTTTCATTTCCCCCGGTATCCCTCGATTCTTGCTCTTCTCATGCAAAAACTGCCAAAATGAACTGGGATCTGAATTTAGGTTAAGTTCCACATTATTCTTATACAGGTTGTATTCTGCTTGGGTCTGCAGCTTGATGCATTGTCTTAATTCATTAAAGTGCAATTGCACTGATGGATCAGCACACTTACTCAATATACGCTTATGAAGCTTATTCTTTTCCTTGACTTTGTGAATCAGATCTATGGAATACCACCGTGGATAACGGGTTTTACTGGAAGAATGTTTGATTTGTCTCTTTGGAATAGCTCTATCTAAAAGACCATACACCTTTTTATAAAATAAATTGAGACTCGTATTTACATCTGTAATTGAAAGTACTTCAGTCCAATCACAGGTTTTCACAATATTGTATAGAAGTAGAAAATCCCCTTTTGGGAAATCATATACATACTGTTTGGATATACAATTTACTAACTTGTCCTTCGTTGGAACTCCAAATTCAAGTGCAGGATGATAGGGGTCTTCTGCAACTAGTGGCTGCACAAACCTAGTGATTTGCGGTATCTCCATGTTCGTCAAAACCAGGTCCAGGCACCTGTCCCTAAAATTTTTAATGTTATTCAACTGTCTCAAATTATTGAGATTAAGGAACTCAGTAAGCAAGGTGTTTTTATCATTATCACATATTTCAAAAAAAGGGAGGTTAAAATCACCCAATATCAATACTCCTGTCCGCTCGTCATCTAAAAGACATTCAAATTGATTAAAAAAACTATTATAGACTTCCAAACATTAAACTTTTTCAACTTCAACCTTACAAGAATACATTCAACATTACAATCAACATTACTATCAATAATTTCATAAGGGAATCTTCTGTCGAAAGCGATCAAAACGCCTCCACCTCTAGCAGCAGTACTTCTATGTCTTCTTAGCACCGTGTACCTCTCATCAATCAACTCTTGAGTGAAAATTCCATCACATAGCCAAGTCTCAGCCAGCTACACTATATCGGGATCCATTGTCAACAAGTTCGTATAAAAAGCTTCAGTCTTAGTCCTTAGACCACGCACATTTTGGTAGTAGACCTGACAATGGTTACTTGAAACATAAGTGGAAGTGGGATTTTTTGATTGCGAAACAGTTTTACTTATACTTATATTTGATTTAGTTTTCATTTTCTCTGAGGAACTGTCTCCTCTGTTTGTGACAGGTTCCTCCTCTTGGCAAAAAGCCGAGATACGAGGGCACCATTTGGCCATATCTCTCTTTTCCACGCATTGCGGAAGTTATTTTGCCTGAGAGTAACTTTCATTGAGGAATATAGAGTAGGAAGTTTGGATGGATGTTGCTCACAAATTACCTCGGGAAAGTGCTTAGCTAACATATTTCTCAGGTCTTCAGGCTTTGTGCTTGGGTCAAGCCTAGTTACGTGTAGTGAGACAGATTTTGGGACCCCTTGTATTTTTGTCTCCTTATCGCCCACCACACATCGTCGGCGCTTTCGTCTTTGCACCTGCCACTGGCCATCGTCCTCATTTTTCGTGTATAATTTTGGAATATTTTGCATTGCGTTGCGAGTTTCGACTTCCATCAATGCCGTGTTTAGGGTTTTCGAGTTGATAATTTCGATTCTTTGTTTGTTTTTATTAATATCATTGGTATTGACCTCTATGGTATTGACAGCCGCCTCAGCTGATTGAGCTGTCCAACTTGGCAGTGTTGCCTGTTGTTGTGCGGTCGAATTACCATCCCTGGTTGCCACATTTGGTTTATTTCTTATTTGCGTTGGCCATTGCTTCGGAGGTTTAGCGGTGTTGCTAAATATTGCTGGCCCTTGTCGAGCATCCCCAATGACGTCATCTTTGTTTTGAGGGGTCATGGAAGCAATATTTATGTTTTCCTCACTTATTCCTTTAAAGGTTGAGATTACGCATTTTTGGAGTTCAACTGTGTACTCCAACGATGCGAGCAACTTCTTCGACATGTCATACTCGCTCCTTAAGCTCCTCAACTCTGTTTCAAGAGCCCTGTCGTCGCTTTTCGCTTCCACAGGTGGGGTGGTTGCAGGAGAGACCATACTTTCAAGTGAGATGATTTTTCCTTGGAGTTCATCTTCAAGTTCAAGATACTTCACTTTTTCATCCTCGTACACTTCTATTTGCGATTTTAGGTTCAGAATTTCGGCTTCTTTGGCGGAAATAGCTTCATTCACAACTTTGTTTACCTCCGTGGCCCGAACGACCTTGGCACATGTCGCACAGTTAATTAGATTTTTACTTCCACTAGTGACTACTAGCCCCGAGATTCTTAGGGCACATGATTGGTGGTAGTAAACATTACATAAATTGCACTTCAAAAAACTTTTTTCAACACCGGATTTGCAGTACTTGCATTTTTTCCCGTCCGTATCTAAAACATCACCACCCGCGGGCGCCATGTTGGCACAAGTTCAGAGTTTTTTTTCTGTCAACAAAATGGTTACCTAGTTTGAGCGGAAATCTATATACGCATATAGTTGAAATATGTGCTTTTTGGCCCTAGTTATGGTTTCCATCCAACACATTCATCAACATTAGATTGACATTGATTAGTTAACATAGTTCCTGCATTATGAAGCTATTCTAGGGAGTTTGACTCTGATTTTCGAGAATCAACTTAGTTATATGTATTCACTTAAATATGTTATATATTTTTTTCAGGCGAGAGGCCATATGGATGTCGGTTTTGTTGGAAAGCTTTTGCAGATGGTGGAACACTACGAAAACACGAAAGAATCCATACTGGCGAAAAACCATATGCTTGTGCTGTATGCCCCAGAGCATTCAATCAACGTGTGGTTCTCAGAGAACATATAAGGTAGGCAATATAAAAATGTTCCTACGAAAAAATAAGCACTTTTTTAAATAAATTCTAGGTCGCATCACTCAGGTCCCGATCCAAAATATTCGAACACTGTAACTCCTTTTTGCTGCACTGTTTGCTCCGACATGTTCATGACATCCCAAGATTTGATATTGCATTTGATCCATCATTGTGATATGAATACTGCAATGAAGAGACAACCACAAGTGGGACCCAGAAAATATAAACGGCGGTAAGTAATAATTATTGTTTATTTGAACTACTAATAAATAATTTGCACAAATTTCCAGAAGGAAGTTAAAACCTCATGAACTGGACTCAATAGTTGAAACTTCACGTCAGGAGAGTAGACAAAATGAAGGTGAAATATTGGACGAGGAAGAGGAAGAGTACCTTCACCAAGAGGAAATAGGTGCAGAAACAGAAGTAAGGCAATCCAGGAGAACATCTTCAAGAAAAGAATCTAGCTCTCCATCAAAAACAAGGTAAAAATCTTAAGCCTATTTTACTTGCTCAATCTATCTATTCTTTCAAATTATAATTATTTTTTAGTGTAAGCGAATCTATCTCAGAAATTTATAACAGCCTAAATACAATAGAAAACAATGACGTCCTCGTGGTTCCTAAATCTCCCAACTCAAAATCAAAACCAGTGAAAAAAATTAAAAGTGAAAATTCATCTTCTTCTTCAAGACCAAAGATGATACATACACAAAAAACAAGAGTGCCAGTTGAAACCAATGAAGATGGCCGGATTAGACATAAAACCAAGACTCTAGTGACAAGAACGGAACCGGCAGAGTTCAAGCCTTCTACAGGTAGGTTTAAAGAAAATATTGAAGGTCTCTCTTCTCAGAAGCTTAGTAATGTATTCAGGTAGTGAAGTTCAAGTGGTGTTTTCTTGTGAAATCCAGTTTAAGAAAAGGAAAATCAATGAAACTAAAAATTACACTAAGGATTAGGTACACGATGCAGTCCATTAATACCAAACGTTATATTTTTATGTTGCATATTGCTTGTTTTTATGTTAAAAAAAATATCATGCCTAACTTACCTAACCTAAAATAGTGGGATAGGTATTTGTGACATTAGTTTATTTATTTGAAAAGAGAAAAATTCTAATCAAATTCTGATATTGGTACAGCACCAGTCCTATATGTAGTATAAAACCACTTGAATTTCACTTTAAATGCCAACTCAGATACCTGCACATATTTGTGATTCTTATTTTAAGAAAAAATACAATAATTGGTCATTGCAGTTTTATAGTGATCTTGGTCTGCCATTCTACATGTGTTTTCCTTTTCTTATGGACTAACTGTAGTCTTAGTAAGAAATCTGACATTTTGTTTTAGGAGATAGAATCAGGCCAAGAACCAAAAATGTAAGTTATTACAGTTTAAACCCAGATAGATATCCCGTAGCTACTTTTCCTGATGGCGACCAAACTGAGGAAGCAGTAACGAATCTCTTGAAGGAGTCTGGTGAAGATCACACAAACAGTAGATTATACTTACCAGAAGAAGCGGTACCAGATGTGGCTGGGGAGCAAACTGTTTCAACAGAAATTTCAGTGCCTACAAGTATTGTTGACCCGGATAACAGGAGAACTAGTGCGAGAATTTTATCTAGGACCCTAACCCGAGGTAGGAAGAATAGTATATATTTTTTTTTATAGGCAATTTGAAATTAGAAAAAATTTAAGAAACCTATATATAAAGTGGTATGGATTTGGGTTACTTTGGGTTAGTGACTTGACAAAGACCTAAGAAGTCCGAAAATCTATACTTTTTTTTTCTTACCCCCACCTATTTCTTGAAGACCATGCAAAATTTACCATGCAGACCTAACTTTAAAAACTGTAGTTCTTCTTTTTATTTACCCAAAATACATCTGTGTCCAGAATATTTCGTCGATCGTTGGCTTCAAGTTCAGTGTGGCCAAGATCATTAATCGCTAATGTCTGTAGAACCCTTCTATTTGTCTGTAAGCTTTCCAGGCATAATATCACAGATGTCCACTTCGTCACCACTGGTAATTTTGAAGATTGTCTTTCATTTGCTGGCAACATTTAAAATTAGTTTGTTTTTAATCGTTTTTACGATTGATTTCGCAGCATTGTCTACCGAAGCAACTCAATTCAAATTAAGTAAGTTACCACAAAGAAATTTAAAATGTGCGCAGCACATCCGTAGTAAGCGATCATATTATTCGGGTATTTTCGCTTAAGAATTTCCCACGTACGAATCATATTAGCGGCGTTATCCGTCACACAGCCAACTACTCGATCTATTCCAATTTCTTCATATACTTCGGAAATCTGAGTAGCCATAAATTCACCAGTGTGTCGAGAAGTCTTCGTAGTTAGTGTTCGATAAAACACTAGCTTTGTGGTAGTGACGACAAAATTGATAATACTTTCTCGTCTTAAATTTGACCAACCATCTGTCTGCACACCTATAAACCTGGCATCTGCTATTTCCGCTTTAACTTCGCATTCTACATCGTCAAACGTTTCTTCTAGCAAAGAATTTGACAAAATGTATTGGGACGGAAGCGTGAGACAGTCGAATACGTTTGAAAGCTTCAGTCCAGTATACATTCTGTTGCAGATATGGCTTTTGAAAGTAGTTTCCAAATTATTGATGTTTCCTCGACAGAAATACTGTCCACAAAAGTTTGCAGTCCCTGTTGACTTGATGGCCTGGATGCTGAAGGAATGTAGCTTGTACCTGCACTTGCCGAGTACGTTTTTGAAGGGCCGCCATGCCTGTTATCGTCAGATTCGTCAGTGTCAGTTACTGGATCTTTGCCAATATTGTCAGATGCAGGAGCCGATAATGTGAATTTATTTGTGAGGGGACCAGGAAGCGTAACCCTTTTCTTGACTTTCAACTTCGCTTTCACGTTTTCTGGACAGCGTTGGCATTTTAATAAATGTTTGAGCATTCTAGTTACATGTAAGGCATATTTTTGGAGGGAAAAATTGGATTTATATGTGTCTTTTTTTCCTCTACTCTGGGATAAGCCGGACTACTTTGTAAAGTACTTGAAAACATCAGTTTTCACCCTCATTCTTGGATATCAATTAAAAAAAAATTACAAGTAAATAATACCTCCTATACTCACATGTTCTGTGACACGTGAAACAATGGGCCGTATGCATAAAAAGTAGTAGATGCTAACTACCACACTAACGAAGCATACAAATGCTACGAAGAGCAGTATACCGGTCTGGCAAGCGAACATCTTACATGCCAATTTAAATGCAATAGAATGAAATGTCTAGAAAAAGTATAAGGTTAAATAGAGAACGGAAACGATTTCCCCTGTTCCACCTCCAGCATTCCCAGCGCTGCATGCTGGAGGTGGAATAGGGGAAATAATTTCCGTTCTCTATTTAATCTTAGACTTTTCCTATACATTTCATTCTATCGCACTTAAATTGGCATGTAAGATACTGGCTTGCCAGACCTGTATGCTTCGTTAGTTTAGTAAATACTTCAAAAAAGGTGTAAATACTTGAAGCATCCACTATTTTTTATGCATACGGTCCAATCCCCCTCACGAAACAAGTTTTAATTACCTATAAATTCAAGTAAAAACTTACAATATGATTGATGATTATCCAAATTTGATTGAGTTTCTTTTTAAATCCTTGAACATAACCTCAAAAACCAGGAACTCAACAACAAAATGCTACTGCAGTTTTAATTTTGAAATCACTTTACATTCACTTCGCAGAACGCACAAAAAACACAGCCTACAACAAAACGCCATCTCCTCTTTATTTTAAGGTTATGTGCATAGTGCATAATGACCTGACGATCATTTTCGAATCTGACATGACCGTGACCGACGTCGTGACCATCAAAATGATGCGGTCATATGACTGACTCACATCACTGTTTGTATATCTATCTATCTGTACTCAATGAACTATATACTACATGTAACTGGAACGGACCTAATAGCTGCTTTCAATGTCCATTTTTGAGGCAAATTTTATGGTCGCGAGAACGAAAATAAAAGGGATTGTTTGCTCTGTCGCACACGTTCATGTTTACGAGCAATGGTGGGGTATAATAAATCCGCCTAGCCTTGTCTAAGAATGCGTAAGCCAAAGACGGCCACCCCTTTTACTCTATTCAAAATTTTTCTCAGGCGTGATAAATAATGGTGCCATTCCATTCACGTAGTATAACATTTCACAGTCTGTACTTCCCCGTCTTATATTTGTCAGTCACTTGTCGTTATCGACTGGTAGACATTATAGAACTAGTATGCCACGCCACGAGAGTATTTTTATTTATTTTTAATATTAAGAAAAGAAAGATAGACGAAGGAGCACCACTCAAAAACGCTAAAGTTATTCAGCTCGCTTGTAAGTTTGGCAACTTCTAAATTTGTTATTGCTTTGCATCAAAAGATGGCGCCACGATAAAGCGAATATTCGCCAAAGATTGAAAAGCAAAAATGCAAAACAAGGTACTTTTACAGTACAATTTTGATATTGTTTGAGCTACCCTGTATGCTGTTTGACTTGCAACCATTCTAAGTGCACCTAATATGATTATCAGACATGCACCAACTTTTGGCCTTGTTTGTATTTGGGATGTGTTATTACTGAAAAAAATCCCCATATGTTGCACACCTAAATAACCACACTGTATAGTAAGGTCTTACATACATTAAAAAAGTTTTGCTTGCTAGTAGCCCTAAGAATATATGAAGAATGTGTAAAGTTACATTATTTACAGAAAAAAAACTGAATTTTTAAAATAATTAGAAAAGACCCTTAACGGTATCGGTATCTAAATTTTTTTATGTAGGGTTAAAGAGACAAGACTTGTTAACAATTAGCAGTTTGCTTGATGTTGATCACCTAATTGGGAGAAGAACTACAATATTTTGAAGTTAGGTCTGCATGGTAAATTTTGCATGGTCTTCAAGAAAAAAGGTAAGAGAAAAAAGTATAGATTTTTGGACTTCTAAGTTCTTTGTCAAGTCACAGTTGAAAAATAAAAAAAAATTAGGGTATGGTATGAGGGGCACTTGTTAATGGCTAACTAATGGAATTACCCCCCTGGAAAATAAATTGCATAGGCTAGTGAGGATTTTCAGTAATATCTTGTTAAGTTTTGCTTTTCATGCGAAAAAAAATGTATGTATGTTATTGTGTTGCGTACTTAATATCTTGTTTCTAGATAAGCAGATTAGAATGTGTTAGGGTGAGAGGTTATCGGACTTGCAGTAGAGAAACTTCTCTTTTTCTTTCTCTCCCAGGGATGTCCAACTTATTGTCCCTATGTAGCACTAAAGTCTGAGGCTAAGTATAATAAGCCGTGTTTGCTGAGTGGTGTTTCATTATTCAATTCGTGACTACCTTTGGTTGCCTGAGAATGCTGTGTCCTCTGCGATCCAGTACCTGGCAGTTCACCAGGATGTGCCAGGCTGTCTCTGGTTCCTTATTGCAGAGTCTGCAGTTAAGGTCTGCATCATACAAGTTCATTTTGGTCAGGTGGAACTTTACTGTTGTGTGGCATGTCATAAAGCCCGTTATAGTCCTTAGTCGGCTCCTACTCATTTATAGCAGTTCTGCGGCCCTTTTTCTGCATGGCTGGTCATGAACTCCCTACTTTGATTCTGCCTGGAACTTGTCCAGTAGCATCGATGTTCTTCACGAATCCAGTTTTTGATGTATCTTCTGGTCATACTTTTTGTATGACCGAAAACATTGTATCCGATAAGTTTTGTCTCTGATCCTCTCTTTGCGAGTTTGTACGCTTTTTCATTGCCTCTGATGCCTCTTGTGCCCTGGCATCAAGAGATAAGTTTTACCTTATTCTGGTCCGCTACGACCCTGAGTTCTTCCTGGCATTCTCATACTAGTCTTGATGACACTGTCTGACTCGAAAGGGCCTTCACTGTCACTTTGGCATGTTCTGCAGTGCATAAAGCTGTCCATGATCAAATAAATTATACTATCCTTATAAACGCTCTAATGAATTTTGTTCTGAATCAAAGTATTATTGACAGGATTGGGGATAACGGCTGGATTTTTTACGTTTTCTTCTTTAGATAGCGGGTAAAGCAGCCAAACAAGTTTATTTTTCTAAAATAATTCTTTATTACTAACCAAGCTTTCGATACTTTTTTGTATCTTCTTCAGGGCTAAAATTATATAAGTTAAAAATATAAAATTACAAAATTGTGACTTACTTGTAAGTGAATTATTTAAAATAAAAACTGCATAGATAGGTATAAAATTTGTCTAAGGACTATAAAGTTAAAATTGTAAAGTTTTTTTGAAAAATTTTTGTTGTTAAAACAAAGTCTTTTGTTATAGATAAATTTTGTATGGTATCTATGTTTAATTTTTAGTTAAATTTCTTTCTTCCAGCAATCTGATAGTATCAATCATATTGCGAATGTCGTTTTTAAGAATTTCAAGAAATTTCTTTGCCTCATTATATTTGCGAATGGAGGCTGCAAGTTCATTGCCAAGCTGTGCATTTGTCTGTCTAATAGTTGCCAGTTCCCCATTGAGGGCAGCCAGCTCCTTGTCTTTGGCTTTCAGTTTTTCTGCAAGAGTATTTTTTGCTTCAAGAACATCGTTGGTGAAATCAGATGTAGATCTTTTCTGTCTCTTTATGTACCCTTCTTTCAATTTGAGCTTTTCCTTAATCTTTGCCAGCTTTCCATTTAAGGCAGTAATTTCTGAGCAATGTTCAGCTCTCAGAGTTTCCAATTTGTTTTCGTACGCCTCAGTGAGACTTTTAATTTGCTTCCTTAGTCTATCCATCATATCCACATCAAGATTCTCCTTGCAGGTTTCGTGAACATACGATTCTATGCCTTTCCACACGATCGAAAGACTGCCGTTCGATGCAACTTTGATGAAAGACATTGTTACAGGTTATACAGAAATAGTTTTCAGTCTTTTCAATTTTGCGGCAGCATTTAAAAACAGTGTCTACCTCAGCCATAACGCAAGAAAGCACAAAACACAAGTGGTCTCCACTATGCTGATCAACTGTTTCTGTTGACATCCCTATCTGATATGCATACTGGCCTGGGTGTGATAGCTGGCTAACACACCATCCCTAATGTGTCTATCCACAAGTTTTTCCAGTGTCTCAAGCTCAAATGACATAAGACCAATGGGTCTTAGGGACTTTGCAAGGTGACTTAGAACTATTGTGCCGCCCCTACCTGAAATATTTCCAAGTGCAAAACTTCTCTTCTATGTGGATGAGTTCTTTACCACAAAGCGTTTCTCAGTTGCAAAGTACGTATTTGGTAGATACAGTACATGTAACAATTTTTTTCCAGGGGGCGTATGACATGTCATAATGGAATGATATAAAAGCTCTAAAGATAAAAGTGTTTGCTAGTCCAATTTTGTCTTAAAAACTACAGATGGAAGTGGCAATAAATATTAATTCAAATCGTCATGATTGAAGAACATAAAATTTCTGCCAAAAAGATAAAAATTAGAAGCATAACGTTATTTATCGCTCCTATGTTTTTTCCAGCTTTGTTTTGGATTTTTTCTATTGTTTTCCTTTATTTTGACTTCGATTTACTAATTTATACAATTTTTCAGGAACCAAATATAGATTGGTTAAAGAAGGTATGCTTGTGTCTAAAAGACGAAACAGTGAGAGTCACGTCCAGCCGGAGGCCGTTCTGCCAGATATACCTATACCAACAACCCATATCAAACAAGAATTGCAAAACAGTAGGTTGATGTAACATTCCAATGAACTTCTTAATAAATTTCCAATTTTACCTATTTTAGCCAGTTACCCTGATGAGTCAGAGAATCACATCTTCCATACTGAAGAGCAAGTGATCGAGGAACCAGTTCACGAAGAAATACCCCTTTATAATATGCCAGATGTATCTAACTTAAAACAAGAACTGTCAGATCAAAGTGCGCTGCGTGAATTGGCAGAAATATCAATGAGTCACGCGAATCGTTCTTGTTTTAAGTGTGAAATGTGCGACGCAATGTTCGCTGACAGGGCGCAATTGTTGCTTCATGTTCCCGTACATATATGATGTTAATTGGTTTGATTAAGTTTCTGGTGACCTAAAAAATTCGGTTCGAAATGGTATAACCATATTTGAATACCAAAGATATTTCCTTACTCATCATTCAATTACCCTGCAACCTTGCTAATCCGAACATCTGTATATTGATTTTTGTACATACTATCTTGCATCACGATTTGCATTCAAATTAGTGTGGGTTCGGATTACCGAAGTTGCACTGTGTTGGATTACATGAATGGTTGTTTTTTGACAGCGAATTCTGATTTTTTCTCATGTCTTAATCAACTAATTCAGATTTTTCAATACTTGAATATGAGTATTTCAATGATGAAATAACTGAAAAAACCCAGAGAAGTGCTAAAACTCACAGCTGAATATAAGAGTTTGATCAGGTCTCGCTAAAAATTGTTAAGTGATATTTCTAATGCATAGACTGAAATCAGGAAGAAGGTTCGATCTCCCTGAAAAATTGAGGTAAGCTGGTAGCTCAGGATTGTTTTATATTTACTTTATATACTTTTGTTGACTGATTGTCTCTCACAACCCATTGCTTATTATCTTTATGTAATAATTATTTTCTTGTTTCTAAAATTTTTTGCTGGTAGGCTCAATGTAGTCAGCGTTTGACTAAAATTATTTTTTTTATGTACCAGTCTGTTTTTACCTAATTATATATATATATATATATATATATATATATATATATATATATATATATATATATATATATTTCAGAGAGGTTCTTGGCGACTTTTTTTTAACCTTCGTCTTCACACGACAAAAAAAAAGTTACGTAGATTCCAATATGGGGTGGGGTATATTTGTACCCCATGATAAAAATGATACTTCTGATAATTAAACATGTTTTTATTTATACTAAACAGTTGAAATAAACTCATAAGAAGAGTACAGTTAGCCAAAAAAAATAGTTAGTCAATGGTATTTTCGACCATTGAGTTTCTTTCGATTTATAAACAAATTTCCGCCTTCTACTTCCCGTAAACTTTCGTTCTCTTCCTGCTCCACAGGTACTTCTTGACCAGCTTTATTATCTTGATTTCTAAATTTTGCAGGTTGGAAATCTATTTCCAACCTGCAAATTTCCTGCAAGGTGACTTCTTGATAGAGTAGCCACAGATTCCCACATGGGGTACGTCATTGGGTACATGTGCCCCACGCTATGCAAAAATTATTATTTCTAAAAAGTAAATAAATAGAAAATGTTTGATGATCACTAATTATGTGCAAAGATCTTACCGACACAAAATAAAATTAGTCACAAAAAATATGCACTTTTTGGGAAAATTTGCTAGAAAAATTGTTTTCTGGTACATTTGTACCCCACTCGGGAAGACGAAGGTTAATTGGTTTCGGCCATAATGCGGGCTTTTTCAAATCTCAGAAAGTAGGTCACACAATTAAAAGCTAATAATAATTGACTTTTCATTTAGAAATTTGACATTTCAGTATAGGTCGATATAAGTTAGAACTGAAGCTCAGTTTTAGCTTGATAACGACTGGAGATACTTTAAGATATACAGGTCTATATTCTATTGTCATCAAGAATTGGGCCACAAAAGTCTTATTCTCAAAAATGGCCAAGGTTTTTGCTCAAGATAATAATTTTAATAATGATAATAATATGGTTTATTTGTAGCATTAAGAACATTACAAGTTGGTTTTTTTTCATATACATTTTACATTCTAAACTACAAAATAATCCATATTTGTGTTCAAACCCTTTACATGCTGTTCTTTTCTGTTTTTCTCTCAAAGCACCCTGCAACCTCCTTTTTGAAGATTATCTGTGAATAGTGATGGTTCTTCGATTGCCTTGAAAAAGGTAATTTTGAATTGTTTTTAAGACTTTGAATTCTTACCTATCGGCAGCAAACGTGGCCAAGCCAAGACATTTTACAGATAATCTTAAAAAAAAGGTTCAAAAAAAACTTATTGATAGGCATTAATGGGTAAATGCAATGCAATGAGATTTTTGAAAGACTCGACGAGTATTTTATAAATTGAATATTGGCAAAAATCTTGCAAAAAATAATGAGAGTTTCAATGGTTTTGACTCTGCTCAATTATGGTTGATTTATTATTCAATCAATATATCGAACAGATAAATACCTCAGAGGTATGGTAGTTTCAAATTAAGGCGAGGTTGGAACAAACCCTGAAATATTATTGTGAGACCAGTTATTTCAGCATTTAAACTTTCTTAGATTTGTTTTTGATCACTATGACACCAAGACTTATTATTTTGTTATAGGGAAAAAAAAATCTGATTAAATATCCATCTGACATTGATAAATGTCTTATAATGTTATAACAAATTTCTCTAGCATGTTTGTTGGTAACACCCCTTTGAGTTGTTACTAATGCACTTTACTAAGCAACATAATTGATCCTGAAAAAATTATCAATGTTTTAGGGATATTATAGCTGATATGATTTGTATGGAAAGAGGAAACCGGAAACTTGATAATTTTGTATATAAGTTATATTTTATTTTTTGAGATAATATTTTTCTAGAAACTTTATTTTATAATATAATTATTATGGTATTTTAAAAAAAAGTGTCATAACATAACAACTGGCGCTACAGGACGTCCAAGAAAACGTGCTACCATAACTGCTGTTATTGAAACCTGTGAAATAACAAGATATTGTGTAAATCGTTGCTTTCTTTATTTGTGGTGTGTTTGTTTTAAGGCTTTTGCCAATAAAAAAAAATAAGGTCATGTGTTTGATCATTTTAGGCGAAGGTAGTTAGAGATATATACCTTTTTTTGGATCTTTTATTTACGTTTTACAACCTGTATAAATGAAAAATGTATGCTTTATTCCAGGTCTATATTGTTAGTGTTTAAATTTTGTATTACTTTATTATAGCAACTTATTATTGTAACGTTTTTCACGCTAATATTTTTTATTCCAGTCAGTTGACACGTTTAGGATTAAAAAATATTTCGCAGGACAAACTAATGGGTAATGCATAGAAGCAAAAAAAAAAAACCACTAGCTTGATACCAAACCTTGGTTGCAGGTGCTACACTTATTTTAGATTTTTATATATTTTCTTTTTTTGTATTTATTTGTATATGTAGCGTTGTCCGCAATTATCACTTGCAACTCTTGCTTCAGATGAACTGAAAATATGCACAGCAAGTTCATTTCAGGAGCGTTCTCTGCGTGGTCTGTATCAGCTATCGCGGTTTGTGAAAATAGAGCAGGGGCAGGGGCATATCATTGAGCAAAATTGTTTCTAAGCTCGCTTTCACCCTCTTTCCCTTCTCGACGCTTTAGTTTGCCCTGATATATATTTTTTTTTAAAGTTTTATTGTTTCCTACCAGGGAGCAGGTCTATTAAGGAATGTACGTTAAAATAATACAATAATTATTATTATAATTTTATTTGATGAAATAAAATGCTAATTGCATAGCTACAACTGTTTAATTTGTTTTGTTTGTTAATTTATTATACGAAAAATTTTGAACTTGCAGTTGCGCGCCATATTGGATGCTCCCAGTTTTGTCAATATGTGACACCTTATGCACTGAAAGAAGATATGGACATCAAACGACGGGCGTACACTGGATTCAAATTAATTGTTTTTTTTAATATTTTTATTTAGCTGTTTTCTACCCTTTGGGTATAAGCCTCCCTCTTATTTTGCCAGTTGTCGTGGTTTTGTGCCACCTGGTACCAGTTCAGTCCTGCCGCTCATTTCAAATCGTTGCTCCGTCTCATTTGCGGTCTTCCTGTGCTCCTTCTGTTGCTCCATGGTCTCCATCGAATTAGTTTACCACTCCACTTATCCTGGTCTATTGCAACGTGTCCTGCCCAGTCCCATTTCTGAGCGGCGGCGCGTTGCACGACATCGTGCACCTTTGTTTTTCTCCTGATCCATTCATTTGTTTTCCTATCCCTTAATGATATCCCAAGTATTCTCCTCTCAATAGCTCTCTGGTTTACTTTAAGTTTGTCAAGTATAGCTTTCGTAAAGGTCCAAGTTTGTGACCCGTAATAGTTATTGTTAGGATACACTGATTGTATAATTCGGTTTTGAGGTTTAGGGGTGTGTCCATATTCAAGATATTTTTTATTTTGGCATATACCGCCCAGGTCTGCCGTATTCTCTCGTTTATTTCAAGTTCTTGGTTAGCCTTGCCTGTAGTTAATGTTTGCCCTAGGTATTTGTATGTAGTTACTTTTTCGATTCTGTTGTCTCCTAGTGTAATTTCTCGTTCGTCCTCTACGTTGGATGTCATGTACTTCGTTTTGTCAAAGTTGATTTCTAGACCTATGCGCTTCGTGGCCCTGTAGATGTTCTCGATAAGTGTGGCCAGTTCTTCTGTACTTCTGGCTATCACTACTATGTCGTCAGCAAACATGAGGTGGTTGAGTTTTTCCCCATTGATATTGATACCTCTGTTTTGGAGGTCGATTGTTTTTAGTGCGTCTTCCAGAACCAGTGTGAAGAGCTTGGGTGACATAAGGTCTCCTTGGCGCACTCCCCTTTCAATTGCAACTTTGTCGGACTTTTCGTGTAGCTGGATTTGTAGAGTCGCGTTACGGTAAATGTTGTTGATTAGGTTTGCGTATCTGTGCTCTATTCTGGCGTGTTTCAGGGCTTGCTGTAGTGCCCATATTTCCACCGTGTCGAAAGCCTTTCTAAAATCAATGAATGCTAGCCATAAAGGTATATTGTATTCCACCGTTTTCTCGATTAGTGTTCTCATCGTTTGCAGGTGTTCTGTAGTACTGTAACCCTTCCTAAATCCAGCCTGCTTTTTTGGATGGTAGTAGTCTAACTTTGGTGTGAGACGGTTGGTTATTATTTTCGAGAATAATTTATATATTTGGGGTAGCAGGCTGATCGGTCTGTAATTTTCTAGGTTCTCGGTGTCTCCCTTTTTGTGAATGATTGTCACGAGGGCGTTTGTCCAGTCCTGTGGTATGTCCTCCTTTTCCAGGCATTTGTTGAACAGCATTTCTAGGTGGTCCTCTAGTATATATCCGCCTTGCTTTAACATCTCCGTTAGTATGCCATCTTCACCTGCTGCTTTCCCGTTTTTCATATGATGTAATGCTAGTCTGATTTCGTCTTTTGTAATCTCAGGTATGTTTTCAGAGTTGACGTTTATGACTTTCACTTCCTGGTCTTGTTCGGATATGTCGCTAGTTACTTTCGTCTCGTATAGGTCTGCATAGAATTCTTGTACTGTTCTTATAATTTCGTGTCTTCCCTCGATTCTTTGTCCTGTTTTGTCTTTGATTCTGACAATTTCTTTCTTTGTGTTCGTCGTTAGTCTTTTGAACACTTTCGTCCCTTTGTGTTGTTCCAGTACTTTCTGCGCGATTTGCTCATTGTGTTTTCTGATGTCCTCCTTTGCCATCTTTCTGGCGATTTTATTTGTTTCGGCGTATTCTGCTGACGATCTTTTGTTATTTGTTATAAGTTGTCGTCTTTTATCTAGCATGTTTAGTGTTTGCGCGCTTAGTTTATTTTGCTTTTTAGTTTTTGTTTCTGTATACGCTTCTGCTGCTTGGTTTAGGGTTCTAGTGATCGTTTTGTTTGCTTCTTTTATGTCATGGGTACTTGGTCTCTGCTCTTTGAATCTGTGTCCCAGGTATATTTGGAATTTATTTGGGTCGTG